TGGCCTTTCTCTCTTTTCCACGCTGCCGTGATCTCTCTGTTATCATTCTCCTGTACCCTCACCTTCCTTTTCCATCTTCCACATCCTGCCTATCTGCACTTCTCCTTCTCTTTGCCCTCAGTCCCAGGTTTCACCCTTCCCTGCCTGCAGACACGGCGTCTGGCCAGGCAACCACTCTGGACACCAGCCCTTTAGGCAGGTCCTCAAGGAGTCAGCAGACTGTCCTGGATGGTAGATTAGGTGGGGGAGAAAAGGGAGAGGGATTTATTCAGAGTCAAGTTTGAGCAGTTTCACACATCAGAATCCCTCAGTGCTTTGGCGCAGGCCTGCTGTATACCCTGAACAGCAGGCGTACACATGTGGGGCCATGTAACTAATGTTCCTCAGGGATGGGACCTGGCACAGCGTGGGTGTGCACAGGGCCTGCTCTTCACAACTCTGCCAAGGCTCCTGCCAGTACACCTGTAAACAGAAGAAAAGCTGATCCTGTTTAGGAACTCCTGGCCCGTCTGGGCTCAGATTTATTGCTGTTTATTTGGGACAATTACATGATCATCTTCTCTCCCCCTTGGCGATGAGCCAGGTGCTCTTGTAAAAAGAAAGCCAGGTGCTCTTCTTTGGCTAATTTTGCTGGGGAAGTCTCCAAGGGATGAGGTGGGAATTGAAGACACATCTTATCTGAAGACCTAGGAAACTTTTAATACCCTGGCACCTGTAAGAAAGCCCAGCACTGGAAAGGAGGATGTGATGAGAAGGGCGGGGGGAAGGACTCTCGTACTCAGGCATGGCATAAAGATGAGACAGCAATCACTGGACGAGGCTGGGTTTACTTTCGTTCCCTTCCCCAGACTTTATTATTTCTTGCCTGGAAGACTCAGCAGTTTTGCTTTTCCCCCCACGAGCCCTTATATATATGAAAATTCTCCTGAGACAAAAGCTTCTAAGGGTTGCTGCTCCCCGTGGAACTGGGATGTCACCAATACATCTATTTATATTTTGGTTTAATTTTAAAATCTTTACTCTGACAGAAATATTAGTAATAGCAGTAAAATTAATGTAGGAGCTTATTAATGTCTTGTAGGACACGAAACCTTTTCTTCTGTCCCCGCGGAAGAACGGGCGTAAGAGTGAATTCAAGGCTGTTAGGACAGGCTCCCCGACTCCACGCACAGAAGGCCAGATAGGCCCTCCCCACGAGATATCCAGACATCCAGGCTCTAGGGAGGTGGGTCTTCCTGAGGCCACTGGAAGTCACAATGAAGGCACCCAGGGAACGCAGCGGAAGACAACATCGGGCCCCTCATCAAGAAAAAACTGCTGTACAGATCAACCCATCACCTAGGAATTAACGTTAAGCCCAGCGTCCGTTAGCTCTTCTTCCTGATGCTCTCCCTCCTCCGACTCCCCAACAGGCCCCTCACGTGTCCATGTGCTCTCATCATATGAGCACTTTTCAAATCTCTAACTTCTCAAAGAAATGGGAACTGTGGCTTGGCCACAGTGCCCTGCGGTGCTAAATGGGGCAAAGTGTGGCAACTTCTAGAAATCGTGGCCCCTGGAGAGACCGAGGACTATCAACAAGAAATAAGAAGACTGAAAGAGAAAAATAACAGGAGCTGGTATTTATGGAGCTCTGCTACGTCCTAGAGTAGTTTCTCGACCTTGGACCTGTCAGCATGCTGGGCGGGGCACCGCTCTGTTGTGGAGCTCGTGCTCTGCAGGAGGTTTGCCGGCATCCCTGGCCTTTTCCCACTAGATGCCGGCGAATTCCCTCTGCCCCCAGGTGTGACGACCACAATGTCTTCACACCCCCTGGGGTGGGGGGTCCCAGTTGAGAACCACGGCTCTAGACACAGGCCAGCTGCTGTGTCCGGACGATCACCTCAGTCCTGCGTTTCGAGCCTCAGGGCCTCAGACCACAGCCCCTGAGCTGTAGCGTTTGTAGGTGGCTCTGCACGGAAAAGTTTGTCACTGATGGAGGTTTTTCTCCCTGAGGCTGTGCACTGTGAGGGTGGGAGCTTGAGCATCCGCCATCACCTCCCAGGCTGAGAGGAATTCTTCCCATCCCGGGTGTCTCACTAGTCACCAGGTCCCCTAAGCCGCCTGCTACTCTCTGCTTAAGTCTCAGCTTGAAGATCATACGCACAGCGAGGTTTCTCCTGGACTGTAAACTAGACTCTCACATCCTGGGCGCATCTTCACGCTCGCTTCTCACCTCCTCTGTCCGCTTCGCCGGCAGCACCAGGGCAGAGCGTCTGCAGGCTGCACGCTCCTCTGAGCCTGGTGCTCTCCACGGGGCTGGCACATGAGCCCTTAGGAATAAGGAGGGGCTGAGCTCCAGAGAGAACCTGGGGGGCAGAGCTCAGCGTCTCGTCTTCACAGGCGGGGAGAGCACGCACTTCTCTTGTCCAGGAATGGAAGTAGTTGTGTTGCTGCTTCAGGGGCAGTGATGGCCCGTCCCTCTGCTGGAGACACATCATCTGATGGGGATGCACTTGTTTACAATCCTGGTTCTCGTCCAGCTCAGCTGAGGCTCTTGACCGAATGTGCTCTGATACGGTCTGGCTGTGTCATCCAAATCTCAACTTGAATTGTGTCTCCCAGAATCCCCACGTGTTGTGGGAGGAAGCAGGGGGAGGTAATCGAATCGTGGGGGCTGAATCTTTCCCGTGCTATTCTCCTGACAGTGAGTCTCACGAGATCTTGATGGGTTTATCAGGGGTTTCCACTTTTGCTTCTTCTTCATTCTCTCTTGCTGCCACACGTAAGGAGTGCCTTTCACCCTCCCCCATGATTGTGAGACCTTCCCCAGCCATGCGGAACTATAAGTCCAGTTAAACATCTTTCTTTTGTAAACTGACCAGTCTAGGGTACGTCTTTATCAGCAGAGTGAAAACGGACTAATAGATCCTCCGTCTATCACAGTTGTATTTAACGCCTCGAGATGAATCTCGTCAGTGAGGCAGAGCCCGCGTTACATTTGGCATGCAGGACACTCCTGAGGCACTGTGGGGGGCGGGGCAGGTCTGAGGGTGCTCCGCGAGTCCTGGTCCCGTGTGAGGCCGGCCCTCTGCACACAGGCTCTGACCAAAGCCTTTACACTGCCAGGCCAGAGTCGACACTCCTCCGTCCCCACAGCCTGCGCTTCTCCGCTCCGGGCTGGGGAGACCTGGCACGGACCCAGCTCTCTCCTCCGCTCCCCTCCCTGCTGCCTGGCAAGGCTGGTTCTCAGCACAGCGGCAGTGAAGGGAGGGGGTCCTCTTGATCTCAAACTCCTAGAAGTTCTCCCGAAGACAGAAATCTAACTGGAAATGTTGAGAGGTATTGGAATGTGTCCTTGTCTCAGTTTTCTAAAAGCTTCTTTCTCATGACCCTTGGAACTTTGCAAATATCTTGATGTCGTCTGACTAGTAGAGGCCTCATGTGGTGACGGTTTTAGAGACCGGTGAGGGGAGAGCGGCACCGGGACAGGAAGCCGCAGGATGGGCGGAGGGTGGTTTGTGGCAGTGGGTCATGAAAGTTTCCTTAGGTCAGCTCTGGCCGTGTTCTCCGTTTAACCACGTTTAACCGGGGAGTTCGGAGCCTCAGGGTGTGTCCACCCTGCCCTCGCACACAGCAGTTGCCTCATAGTGTACATTATTGTTTGTGAAATGGTCAACTGAGGCGGAGTTCCCAGGCCTGGACACTGGGAGATGCAGCCTGGACACTGGCCCTCTCCCTGCAGGGCTGCGCTGGCTGTGTGTTACTCGTTCACCCACACAAGTGCCCCCAGCTCTCGAGGTCCATCGCTCACCGCTCTGCAGGCCCAGCCCAGCTGCACCAGGAAGCTTTCCTTTGAGTCCAAATGCGCTTCTCCCTCTGACCACAGTGCAAATGGAAAGGGCAGGCCCCACCCTCCCAGGAGGGGGGAATCTTAAGCGCTCATTCAGTCGAACCGTTCGTAATCATTTACTGGGCTTTGAGGGTACGGACCCGGTGGTCAGCCACAGTCTCCCCTCCGGGGGGTTCCAGGGGTCTCCAATGCAGGCTCTTTTTGGTTCCTTATGAACTTTAAAGTAGTTTTTTTCCAATTCTGTGAGAAAGTCATTGGTAGCTTGATGGGGATGGCGTTGAATCTATATTACCCATCTATGGTGCCAACAAACTCACATTCTTACCCCATGGTTCATCACTGGCATCAAGCAGCAAAATCCAATTTGTTTGCTCCACCAGGAAATCATTGCCAACTTCAACTTAATTGGTCATAGGACAAGTCCACCGAAAAGGCTAAAAGCTAAAAAGAGAGGCAGAGGGCTGAACCACCTTAGATAGGTGTGTTGCTTGGACGTAGAATGGAGACGACTGCCGCATGGGGAGGGGCCCCCAGCTCTGGCCGGAGCACACCCCTGCTGACCCTCTTCTGAGTGCTTTCTTTCCCGGCATTGCTGACTAGGAGCCAGGAAGGCTTTGGGAGGACCTGAAGCGATCAGATCATCCCGTCCAGGACATCTTCCCTCCCCGCTGCGCTCACCTCTGGGACAGACTCTCAGCAAGTGGCTCGACCCGGGCAGCCAGCACCCTGCTGCTTCCGAGCTGCCTGGTCCAGTGTTGGCGACACTGAGGTGACACAAGGTTAACAAGGCAAACAGGTTTGTACTGACCATCCCTTCCTCTACGATATCACTTTATTTGATTTGGAGAACTGTGGGCTTCCTGAGGTTTTGCCATTGGTAAATAGCAGGCCTTGCTGTTTTGTTTTGCTTTTTGAGGGCAGAAGAAAGAAGCTTACTTCACTTTGCAAATGTGGCAGGGCCTGGAGTCAGCTTAGTGTGGAATGACCAGCTCTTCACCAGGAGCTGTGCAGCCAGGGCAAGTCATGCCTCTCCCTGGGACTCATTTTGACATTGATAACATGAAGGACTGACATTTATTCACAAAGCTTTGCTGGGTTTTGCAAAGCATTCTGCCGCTGGCTGCAGAGCTATTGCTGAGCCATAGTTACCTCCCTCCTCCAGACTTACGGTAAGTGACACTGAGCGGAAGCCGTGGACAGCGATGCCTTCAGGAATCTCCCCTGCCGTGTTAGGGTGCGTCTCCCTCTACTCTCAGCACATCTGGGGGCCAGGCCTCTGGAATCCAGGTCACCGGGTGAGCCTCACTTGCTTCCTTTGATTCCTAAGGATAAGGGATGGTTAACTGAGGTTTCCTTAGACACTGCCCTGTTGTTCTAGACCCAGGAGATAATTCCACATGCTGGATTCCAGTAAGTTACTTAACCTCTGGAAGCCTCTGTTTTGTCATTTTTAAAGTAGTACATACTTGACCAGGCATTTTAGAATTGGGTAGATACTATCTCAATCATTATTCCTAAACAACTATTTATGGAGCATTTACCTTCTACTAGATATTGTAAGTAATCTAGAGGTTTAAAGTGTGAAAAAGGATGTGCATAGGTTCTATGCAAATACTACACCATTGTCCATAAAGAACTTGGGCATCTGTGGATTTTAGCATCAACAGAATAGAATGAACTGGTTCTCTTCCTAGAGCCAATTTCCCATGGATACCTAAGGACAAGTGTACGTACAGACATATTCATTGCAGTACTTTTTGTAACAGCAAAAAACGGGCATTAACAGTATACATAGTGTTGGGATAAATTGAATTAAGATTCATTTATGCAATGGGATACAGATGTTAAAAATAAAGAAGTATGTGTTCATATGGGAAGTAATCTCAAGGATTATTTTAAGCAATGAAAGAAAAGTACAAAGCACTGTCTATATGGATTCCCATTTGTGAACAAGGGTGTGTGTGTGTGTATGTGTGTATTCTCTTTATAGAGACTATCTCTGAAAGGAAATACAAGTAATTGGTGGTAGTAGTCGGTCTAATTTTTGTTTCTTCTTCTCTTTTTTTTATAAGAATAGATTTTTACAATAAGAAGTACTCAATTTAAAAAATGTAAGTTATTTAAAGTAGGTAATTTAAAAATATATGTCCACAGGCAGAGGAAATGAGGCCAACGCTAACAACTAGGGAATTTAGGTAAAGGCACAAATTACCTTTGTACAATTCTTGCAAATTTTTAGAAAATCTAAAATTATTTTAAAATAAAATTATAAAAAATATCCACTAATTCCACAATCAGTTCTTTTCAACTCTGAACTCGGGGCCTACACAATTTTCCACACCCCACCCAGCTCACATGCCCTATGTGCAGATGACCTAATACTGCTGGCCTCAGTTTCCTCATCCCAAAATTCAGAATGATGATAATATTAAGCCTGTAGGGTTATGTCCTGCACATACTGAGCATTCAATGCATGTTACTGTGCCCTTCTTTCCTTAATCTCTTCCAACACCTTCCTTTCCAGATATACGGATAGCACAGAAGGCCAGGAGGCCAAAGCACTTTACGATTCTGTAAAGAAGAAGCCAAAACTGCAGATGAAGCAAAGCCTATTATCTTTGGTGTTAAATCCACAGAGAACGTCTCTGGATTCGGTCACCTCCTCCTGTGCTTTCAGATATTAAATATTTTGCTGTCAAGAAGCAATTCCCCATAAACTCAAAAGTTCTTGGCTCTAACAGTTCTAAATCTTGGCCTAGAGATGAGAATTTCGAGCTAACTTAGTAGTTGTCTCAAACACATGCAGTTTGGAAGCCAAGAGTCTTTCGTCGGCTGTGTCCAGCCCCAGCAAGAAATGAACCAGCGGAAGCATTTGTTCTGCGGATTTAGGCTCCGCCACACGTGGAATTTAGGAGCTCAGTGGAGATTAAGTTTAGACTTAGGAAGCAGCAACTGGGCGAAACACGACCATGTGTGACGGTAATTTTTTTTTTCTTTTTTGAGTGGAGTCTTACTCTTGTTGCCCAGGCTGGAGTGCAATGGTGCGGTCTCAGCTCACTGCAACCTCTGTCTCCCAGGTTCAAGTGATTCCTCTCTCAGCTTCCCGAGCAGCTGGGATTACAGGCATCTGCCACCACACCTGGATACTTTTTGTATTTTTAGTAGAGACAGAGTTTCACCATGCTGGCTAGGTTAGTCTCGAACTCCCGACCTCAGGCAATCTACCTGCCTCGGCCTCCCAAAGTGCTGGGATTACAGGCGTGAGTCACCGCGCCCGGCCATGTGATGTTAATTTTATGTGTCAACCTCATTGGGCCATAGGGTGCCCCAAACAGACATTTAGTTAAACACGTTTCTGGATGAATCTGAGAGGGTGTTTCTGGATGAGAGAAGCATTTGAACTGGTCGGCCGAATGAAGACGATTGCCTTCCCCGACGTGGCTTGGAATCGCCCACTCAGCTGACGGCCTCAACAGAAAGAACAAAGTGGGGGAGGAAGGAGAACACATTTCCTCTGCCCGAGCAGGGACTTCCCTGCCCTCAGACTGGAAGTTCACTGTCAGATATCCTGCTCCCCGGCCTTGAAACTAGAACTAGAACTTGTACCACTGGTTCTTCTGGTTCACAGGCCACCCCGGGTCTCCCGGGTCTCCTGGGTCTCCAGATTGCAGATGGAAGACTGTGAGACTTCTCAGTCTCCATAATCCTCTCCCTGTCCCTCTGCCTCTCCCTCCCCTATTGGTGCTGTCTCTGGAGAACCCTGACTAATACATTAATCGTGTTCTGTCAAATTTTGGTGATGTATTTTTTCTTAAATCTGTTTCATTGGCTATTCTCAAAATCTGCTGAGTGGGGCCATCCATTGTTTCTCAGCTGAAGGACTGCAGTCACTTTAGGTACTTCCCTGCATTTCGTTGTGCCTCTCTCTCCTTCATCCTTTCCACAGCTGCCATTCCAATCTTTCTAAACGAGAACTAGTCCTCTGATTAAAGATGAAACAAGCTCATTGTGACTGTAAGGAAATCTGTGTACTGGACTTCTGCTGGCTCTCGAGTACCTGAGAACGGTTCTGAGCAGCCTACCAGAACACAGAGCTTTCCAAACTCAGTCCAGGACGCATCTGTTCCTTCGCCCAGGCTTTCCACCCTGCGTGGCTCTCACCTTTGTGTGTCCGTCCTTGTTTCTTAGAGGAGCCGTGTGCCTCCAAATGCATATGCCTACGACCTTTTCTTTCTCTTGCCTGAAATGCCTAACTTCATTCTCCATCGGGTGAATTCCAACTCACCCTGAAGATGAGCTCAACTGTCCCTCTTGTGTGAAGCCTTTCCTGACACCCTGAGAATTTTCCATCCACGTCACCACAGAGCACCGTCCATCCTCCTGTAGAGCCACTCACTCACCACCGGTCTGCACATCCATTGCTCATAGAAGGTCTTCACCACTAGACGTCAAAGCCTCAGTGACAGGTGCTTGTGTCCCTGGCCTGCTCGAGGCCCTCAGGTTATTCCCACTGCTCTTTTTTGGACAAATAATGGCTTCTTCAGGCCTACACAAGCTCGAAGAGATCCCAGAGGACAACGAGTCCAATTTTTTACTTTCCAGAATAGGATACTGAGATATTTTAATTCATGGAATTATTCTAGCATCCAACCTTACATAATAAGTATTCGTTGAGGACTTGGAGTGTACCCGTTTCTAGGTTCTGGGGAAACAGGATTAACTATGACGGGCAAAGTTACTGCCCCATGGAGTTCACCATTTGGGGATTGGTGGGTGGATAACAACGGCAACTACAAGATACACGCATGCATGTGTGTGCATGTGTGTGCATGTGTGTGTGCATGTGTGTGTGTGTGTGCATGTATGTGTGCATGTGTGTGCTTGTGTGTGTGCGTGTGTGCATGTGTGTGCATGTGTGTGTGCATGTATGTGTGCATGTGTGTGCATGTATGTGTGCATGTGTGTGCTTGTGTGTGCGTGTGTGCATGTGTGCGTGTGTGTGCATGTGTGTGTGCATGTGTGTGTGTGCATGTATGTGTGCATGTGTGTATGTGTGTGCATGTATGTGTGCATGTGTGTGCTTGTGTGTGTGCGTGTGCGTGCATGTGTGTGCATGTATGTGTGCATGTGTGTATGTGTGTGCATGTATGTGTGCATGTGTGTGCATGTATGTGTGCATGTGTGTGCTTGTGTGTGCGTGTGTGCATGTGTGCATGTGTGTGCATGTGTGTGTGCATGTGTGTGTGTGCATGTATGTGTGCATGTGTGTATGTGTGTGCATGTATGTGTGCATGTGTGTGCTTGTGTGTGTGCGTGTGCGTGCATGTGTGTGCATGTGTGTGTGTGTGTGTGCGCGTGTGTGTATGTGTGCGTGCGTGTGTGTATGTGTGTGCATGTATGTGTGCATGTGTGTGCATGCGTGTGTGCATGTGTGCATGCGTGTGTGCATGTGTGTACATGTGTGTGTATGTGCGTGCATGTGTGTGTGCATGTGTATGCATGTGTGTGTGCATGTGTGTGTGCATGCGTGTGCATGTGTGCATGTGTGTGCATGTGTGTGCGTGTGTGTGCATGTGCATGTGTGCATGTGTGTGTGCGTGTGTGTATGTGTGTGTGTGTGCGTGTATGTGCATGTGTGTGTGCGTGTGTGTATGTGTATGTGCATGCATGTGTGTGCATGTGTGCATGTGTGCATGTGTGTGTGCATGTGTGTGTGCATGTGTGTGCATGTGTGTGCGCATGTGTGTGCATATGTGTGTGCGTGTGCACACACGAGTGTGTATGCATGGATGTGTGCATGTGTGTGTATGGGTGTGTGCGTGTGTGTGTGCATGTGTGTGCATGTGTGCGTATGCGTGGGTGTGTGTGAGCATGTGTGTGTGCATGTGTGTGTGTGGGTGTGTGCATGTGTGTGTGCATGTGTGCAATTCATATAGTGCTAGGTGTAATGCACAAACGAAGGCGGTGACTGGGGTCACAATCCAGGAGAAATCTCTGGGGACGTGACATTTCATCTCACAGGGTAATGAGGAAAATGAGGCAGCCACATGGGGTCCCAGCGAAAGAGGACTTGAGGCAGACGGAACAGCAAGTCCAGGGCTCTGGATGAGGAAGTGGCTTCCCTCACAGGTAGATGGGAAGGGGCCATGTGAGGATACCTCAGCCATGTCAGATGAATGTATTGCCTGAAGAACGCCCTGAGATAAAGGGTGGCATAAGCAGGTGTGTGGCTCAGGCAAAGGAATGGGGTAAGAAGCAGGACACAGCCTCGCCAGGTGGGTTCCTCCAGAAGGCAGGCTGCACCTGCCAGGGTCCATCCCAG